GACGAATCAGAGGACTTGTCTACAACAATAGACACATTATTGGTGAGAATTATAACATCAGCAACTTGGGGTACTTTATTCTCGTGAGGGATATCTTTACTGACTATCAGATAGAGGCCATTGTGTTGTTTAGTAATACCAATAATATCCTGGGAGTACATCAGTTCAATGAAACAATACGAATCACAGAATGTGAGATAACATTTCATGGATGGAATTAGCTTAGAAACAAAAATGAGATTCTCATGAAATTGAGGCACAAAAAGGACATTTGACAGACTAAGTGTGGGTGACAATTTCATTGCACTAGAGAGACTGCAAGTGACACGTATTGGGAAGAATAATGGAAATAGGATCAATTTTGTGTATAGAAGAAAAGAACGATGACATGTGTTATATGATCGGTTGCACCCGTTTCTATGACCTATTTAGTATTAGGAATACCTGTAGCATCTGTGTGCGCATTAGAAACTTATGCAATGTTCATATCACGAGAAATATTATCAACAACAGGTGGCACTGAGTTTTGCAAACAGACAAGACGTGCTGATGTTGATCTAAGGATAGTGAAGTCTGAAAAATTGGTTGTTGTGCATGCTCATTAGATTCGGTTTCAGCTACAATCCATTGTGCTACATTTTTTGCAGCATGAAGGTCCATCAAACGATAACCTGAAGCATATCCGTAGAGTGGGTAACATGTTTCAATGATGTGGTTGGTTCTTCAACAATGAGTGCATAGTTTGTTGCCTCTACCTCCATTATTTCTTTCGCAACCTCTACCACTTCTTCCTCCTAGATTATTAAACGTCTTTTGATTTCCATTTCCTCTAAGATTATTTAAGCCTACAAATGCTTGTGAATTACTCATAGCTGAGCTTCCACTATCAGAACCAAAATGCCTTTCTTGTTGCATAACCATTGAAAAAGCCTTGTTCATATTTGGTAGAGGATCAATCAACATTACCCGAGAACGCAAGCTGCATAGTGATAATTGAGTCCTTTCAGAAAGGGAATCATGTGATCCCTATCACGATATGCACATATCTTGGCAATTGCTATGCAACTGCAAAGAGGAAAGCATTCACACGATGGAAGCAACTTTAAATTTTTCAGCTCATCCCACATAGTCTTGAGCTTAGTTAAGAACTTTATAACAATATGATCTCCTTGGTATAATCTTACATTTTCTCCTGAAGATCTGGAACTCAGAATACATATGATTGCGAAAACCTTTCATGCAAATCAGCTAAGCATCTCGAGCACATTTGATCTATAATAAGGATTTGGCAATGGATTTAGAAACGGATCTATAAATCCATGCCTTCATTATGTTGTTACAACATTTCCATTGAGGAAAACTCGGATCATCATTTGGAGCCATCAACAAATCGAAACTTGTTCTTGGATAAAAGTGCCACTGTCATGCCACGAGCCTAAGTATGGTAGTTGTTGCCAGTTAGTGGAGAATTCACCAACACCAATGAGGGACTCTCATTCGGATGAAGAAATAATGGATGTGAAGGATTAGTGTTGAAATCCATTAAGGGATTGTTAGGCTCAATGAGAAAAGAGTTCAAGATTCTGAGATGAAGAAGGAAAAAAAATTACAGAAGCTGAAAGTACCAAAACTCTCGATTAGAGCTCTGATACCATATTGGAAGGCAAAAAATTTCTCATTATTACACAACAGTTAAGTTACCAGAGACATCCCTATATTTATAGGACTAAGAAAGTTGTACATTTAGACTAAAATGTATGCTAAATGCTCCAACAGAAAGATCGTTGTACTTTTAACTACATAATTATATCATAATCATACAGAAAAGTAAAAATAGAAAGTGGTTACGTTGTTATTTTTCTATCGTGATTGGTTGCTGCAAATAACACATCAGCAATGGGCTGAAGTGGCTGTTATTCACGTGTTAAAAGCTACTCTCAATATAAACTCTACATTGTTTGAATCCAATTAAATCATACTGGATATCAAAAAAATTATTAAAAGCAACAAATTTTATCGAGTAATAAGATATTTTTCTGTTAAGTATATCATCGACTGACATCTTTTAGGGTCAATCGAAATAAAATTCTTCCACAAATGATCATAAACTGCAACGGATACCAACTTGTTAAGTTTGGAATAATTAATTTTTGTCCTAGCTGTTGTTAAAATGTTCAAATTAACTTTAATAGCCAACATAGGAAGCAAATTACTTTTCCAATTACCAGGGACAAATTCCTTCAAATTTGTTGGCATAAGGTGTGGTTCCTCGTTTAAAAAGTCTTAAACCATAATTCAAACAAAAACTTCCCACGTATATCCATAATTCAAATCATAATTTTAAGGTTACGAATGAAAAAGCAAATACGTTATTAAAATCAAGAGTTGTTAACATGAATGAAATGATAAGAATTTCTTATTCTAAGACCAAAGGCAAGAGGGGTTTCAATTTTGTTGAAATTCTTCTATATCTATATCTATATGTATATGTATATAGGGTAATATATCCATCGTGTTGCATGAAATATAATTGTCTCATGCACACATAAAAAGTGGGTGGAGCTTACATATTTTTTTCTCACTCTTCTCCTTAGCGAGTCTCGTCTACTTTTTACATATTCGTAATATATATATATATATATGTGTGGCCTGTTTGTATGTGATGTACAAGGTCTAATACTATAAGCTTATACTATAATTATGACATTTTCAGTTGTTTAGTGTGACCATCGTATAGTAAAAATTTATGGCTCCTTAATCATGGTACTTAAAAACAAATTATGAAACGTAAAAGCAACGTTTCTACATTTTTTTCATCAAAACATTTTTGTTTTGATGTAAAAGCATTTTTTCTGGTGAAAACGATAAAAACGTCGCGTTTAATCATGAAGACGTAAAAATAATGCATTTTTTAGGCCTTCATAGATTTTTTTTAAAATACTGAACTTCTTGCTTTGCCAGCATGGTTATATGAAGGGGGTTTTGGTGAAGGAGCTGTTTGGTGGAAATCCAAAGACAGTGGTTGTGGGTCGGTGAAACACAAGCTTAACCGACGTCAAAATCGACCAAACCAGCTTCTATGAAAACAACAACAGCGACGAGCAGCTCGAAGAAAGGGAAACAGGTGTCAGACACGGTCAAATGGTCATCTCCATCTCCCTCACCTTCACTTTGCCGAAGTAATTACTGCATTAAGGGAAAAAGACAACACCTTTGATGGCAATGTGGAAAATTTATGTGAAAATACACAAGAAATGAGGCTCTTACAGACAAACACAGACCAGAATCACCATTAAGTTTTGACCTTGAAGACTTCTGTGACAAGGGAAAAACACAAAAATGGTAAAGAATTATAGAGCGAAAGAAAAGAAGGAGAAGACGAGGGGGGCCAAGGGAAACCTGTGACTAACCCTAATTTGATACTTGGAATGCCTTCTAAAGAAATTAATGCTTACCAGCTCCCTGCGAGTTATGAGGTAATCTAACGCCTCAAAGTAGTTCTTTAGTGTTGGCAAGATCTCTAGTGTCCATCTTGACCAGCGAGTTACGAAACAATTAATGCCCACCAGCCTTTTATTCATAATGCTTCTATAACTTACAAAGGAATATTTTATTTTTTTAATATTTTTTTTGTAAAGCAATGTGTTGAAGCGATTCTGCCAATATTTAATTTTTGTTTGGGTTTTATGCATATAATACGGCCAAAGTGCTAGCAAGAATGTTAAATTTTATACAATGTTAAATAGCATATGTATATAAAACTTTAACTTTGGAGTTTAGGTAAAATCTACATTTTGTATTACGATTTTATGTTTTACGATTTTTCATTCTTCTTCTATTTTTAGATAAAAACTCAATTTTGTTAACCTTGCCCTAAATACATATGTATGACTTAATCAGGCTTAAGGAGTGTGATTAGGGATGATAAGGGATTAATGTATTAGGGAATTCCCTTCATAAGAGCCACCACAAACCCACCACCCACCACTCCACTGCGAACCCCTTTGAGCGAATCAGAGAGTGTCATCCATATCCTTAGTTACATCAAGTTCTTTCTCCGCCATTGTGCTGCCGGACTTGCAGCCCTAGACGTTGGCCTCTACTCGGAGGCCATCCGTCACTTCTCCAAAATCGTCGACGGCTGGTGTGGCGCCCCACACGGTTTCCTCATCGAATGCTACATGCACAAAGCCTCTGCACACCGTTCCACAGGTCAAACTATAGAGTCCATAGGAGACTGTAACCGAACCTTTGCACTCGGCCCTACTTGCATTCAAGCCCTTGACACTAGATCTTCGTTTTTTGAAACCATTCGTTGTTTACCGGATTACCTACACGTTCTTGAACACTTGAAGTTGCTCTACAATTCAATCTTGTATGATCATAAGCTTCCTGGCCTTGCACGGAAGCATCATAACGTGCGTTACAGGGAGATTCCAGGGAAACTCTATGCAAGTTGTTGCATAGGCAGCGACAATTCAAGTTTTAAAAAATAACTGAACAACCTGAGCTCAATAAGTCAGATAGTATGAGCAACAATAACAACGTTTAGATGGAAAATAAGTCCATTATATCCTCTCAAACTGTGAATCCTGCAGTTTTCCAAGGTGTATTTTGCTGTGATCTTTCTGTGGTTAGGAACTTGCTTTCATAAGTGAGGTTTAATCAACCAATTCCAGTGAAGTATGTAGCTTTGAGTTGTTAAATTGAATTTTTCGTAAAAAATATAAATATTTGGTAGGGGGCTGTTGGAATGACTTGGTGGCATAAATTTAATTCCATATATCTGATTATATGATAAAACATGAGTTCAGTAATTCTTTATTAAAGGATATTTTTGTTAAAAATACTTATTTTTATCCTATATAGTATTACATAGTGCATTATCAAATATTAGATAGTATTATCTTATACAATACATTATATTATATAATATCATGTCAAACGGCAAAAACTATTTCGTGCTCGCTCAAACATAATCAACATAAAAATCATCTAAATTATCCTCCAAACGATGCTTGAATTTCTTCCAATGCTCTATCCTTGGTCTCGGGAACCCAAATCATTGAAAAAGCAACCGTGAAGGCGGAAAAAATTGCATAAATTGTGAATGTTCCTGTTCACAACCAAACTTTAACTTAAGCTTACTCTGATAGGTTTTTAAGTCATTTGTGCATGCTAGCAATCCAATAAACAAAAAACAAGCATAAATAGATAGAGACACATACCTGCATTGCTCCAATTTAAAAGCAAGTTTGCAGTCATGGTGATTACTGAGGCAGTGAACCAATTCATAAAGGTGGCTACACTGCCACCAAAGCTCTTAATATTTAGTGGAAGTATCTGAAAAACACACGATTAATAGTTGTTGATCAGTTCCTATTTTTAATATACATGCATTAAAATACCTTATAACATTTATGGATGTTAAAATAGCTTCAAGCCACAACATTTGGGTAAGTGGTGAGTTATTGAAAAAGATCTTCAAACGTTATGAATTGCTGTGAATTTAGAACCAAATCTGTATCCCCAAACGATATAGTATGTTAATATGGAGGTGCTCAAAGTAACAATGGTATGGACCAAAGCTCGAAGAGTCACCCATGGCACAATGCAGAAATAGCTACAAAAAGGGGGAAGGTACATTTCGGCTAAGGTGTCTCTAAATTCCAACAAAGTAATAACTCATAGAAGTGTAAAAAATCAGGTATTCCTTCTAGAGAAGAAGAGGGGATTTATATAAGGGAATCAATATTACTTAATTATAGGGGGAAGGTGAGCCAAAATCATTAACCTTACCTCCACTATTGTAGTGTAGCATTTGTTCCCATCATATGTGTACGAGCTTTACAGTGAGAAGGGGATTCTCTATAACGAAGCCATATGGCTCACCATGGAGTATTATCTAGAAAGTTCCTTTACTGGATCTTTGACATTGAGTTCATCTTATTGGGTCTATGGAGGTCGACTAGAATACGTTATATAATATTAGAGTTTTGTGTTTCTCATGTTGTAAGAGATAAATTTAACTCCTCCACACACATAAAAGTGTGTGAGATCTATATTTTTTTCTTTTTCTTTTTTCTTTTCACATGGACCCATATGGGCACCACACGCTTTTATATGTGTATAGGAGATAAATTTATCTTCCTACAATACGCGACACATTAAACCCATAATATTATGTTAAATTTCTTAAGCTAATATTCATAAATAAATTAAGGATAACAAAAGACTGCATTAGAATAAAGACTAAAAAAATTCATTAAATAGTTTGCGGGATATTTTTTATATTTGATTTGTCAATCATTTAAACAATAAGATGGGGGTGAGACAACAAAGGATGCAGAAAATATATAGCCATTAGCTAAATATTTAATGTGGTAGTTAGGGTGTGCATGACAATCTTCATGGAATCATTTTTTTTTTTAATTTCTGCTCCCGTGTACAAAAATGGATAGAAAACTCGTTTGGTAAAATATGTTTATTTTTTTGTTCTCGAGATGAACCGGTTTTTTGTGTGCTGGGGAACAAAAAAAAATCAAATTTTTTTCTTTTTTGTTCCGGGCAAAAAATGAAAAATACTTATCTCTCTCAATTACTCTCCACCACTACCATCATCACCACCGCCACCACCATCCCGACACGACCACCGCTACCATCGTCGTACCACCACCTCCACTACCACCACCGTCACCACCATTATCACTACCACCGTCACCAACCACCACCACCACTACCATCAACATCACCACCATTATCACTACCACCGTCACCAACCACCACTGTAAGAAACCGCACTGTTAAATTAGGAAATTAAATTAATTAAATGTGAAATTAGGAAATAATTTCATAATTGACCCAAATAATTATGAGAAGGCTTAAATAATTATAGTAAGAGATTAAGAATGCTGAAAGTCGCTTTTCTGACGAAAAGTGCAGATACCGGTTCTACCTCACGGTATAAATGCGTACCGATGAAGTATCTCGAGAAATTATGAAAAGTATATATATGTCACTAGAATAATATATAGGACTGGCATAACAAGTTTCAGGTCAAAATAATGAGAACTAGTGCCAGAACCGATACTGGCTATGTAAAAGCGCGTACCGGAAAGGAGTAAGTTCAGAATCCTAAGTTTGGGATTAAAATGCTAAGTGTAGCTATTAGCGCTAATACAGTGCGATTAAGACTTAAGTGGGCTATATAAGGACCCTTGCACTTTAACCTAGGCTGATACTCAGCCATTTCCTACGTGACTTTTTGTGCTTGGAGCTGTTGCCTCCTTCTCCACCTTGTCCTTATGCTCTCTTCCTTCTTTTCTCACCAAAGACACCACCTTTGATCATTGTTTCTTCTCTAAATCAACATAACTTGGTGTGAGCAACCTTGTGTGGGTGAGAGGCCTTTGTTGCTGAGTTTGGTCATTGTTTTGGGGAAGTCTTGGGGCTGACTTCTTTGTTAGGAAAGGTAGGAGCCATTGTCTTGAGTGTGGAAGCTTCATGAAGCTTTCTTTGTAAAGAAAGGACCCGCCTTGGAGTGTATTTTCGTGATCCCTTGGTTGCTGCTCTGTGGAGTGGCATTGGAAGCTTCAAATCACTGTCTTTTCTCTGTTTTGAGAACTTGGTAAACATTTTCAACCTTTGATCATGAGTTTAATGGTTAAAAATGGAGCCTTGATGCATGTAATAAGCCAAAGTTCATAACTTAAGGTTGGGTAAGGTTAAACACACCAAGAAATGCCTGTTTAAGCTTCTAGAATCGTTAAAAGAGCAACCTTTGGGAAGGATATCTCGCGAAATGCAGAACTGCATTTTGTCGCGAAATATCCGGATATGGTATCCGGCTATTGATATCCGGATATGGGGTCTGGTGATATCCGAATATGGATATCCGGATATGATTTTCGGATATGGATATCCGGATATGTCCCCGACAAATATCCGGATATTCTGGGAATTTCGAGACAGTAACGGCACTGTTCATACAGAATGATATTTTGGGTTTGTGGTCCTATGATTGGTTAATGTGGACTTCTGTAATAACTACTCTAAGTCAGAATCAAAGTGATTAAGGGCTTATGACTTTGTGAGAAGCCTAAAGACATGAAACATAAAAGGAAAGCGTTTTCTTTATGTTAAATGCTTATAGATCACGAGTGTTGATATGTTTGTTGGTATAAACAGACGGCGAGAGTGCTGTTTGTGGACCTTGAGCTTGGTTGGACTCTTATTTGGATTGATTGCTTAGAGGTAAGCTTTCGAGTCCTCGGATTAGCCATTGTTGGTTCCACCATACCCCATGGGAGAATGGTTTATATGCATGATGTGTTTTCATGTATTGATTTATTGAAATGCTTTTGAGCTGTTAAGTGCAAATGCCTTATGATATGTATGTGATGTTTCGCCTAGACGGGAATGTGATCCTGTGGGAAGGTACGGCATGGGCGTGTACTATTATGGGTTGTAGACGTACGTACATCCTGCATTTCTCTGGCCAGTAGAATAGTTGACACACATGACATGATTATATGTTGCATTGCACTGATTTGGGAACTTATACTGCTTTGGAACTTATATTGTACATGTAAGTGAGCTTGGGGTGTAGAAATCCTTGAGGACCCCTTGCCTTACTGAGATTTCTGTTTAGAGATCTCACTCCATGTTTGGGGCACATATTTCAGGTTCAGGTAACTCGGGGGTTGAGACCTCGGGTGGCAGGAGGCCGGAGCTGAGTTGAGATTTTGCTTTATGATGATATGCTTGGATTATGCTTGGATGCTGACCTGCTTTATATTTATTGTCATGTTGTTGTTGAGACTGCTGTTGGGCTTTGTTGCCTTATTTGGTGAGCATGAGGGTTGTCTATGCCACATTGATTGACTAGGTCTTATTGGGATTCAAGTTCTATTAATGTATTAGGATTATGTCCGGACTACGTGTTGTAGATCCGTGACTTAGATACTCCCATATTTATATCATGAGGTTATTCAGTGTAGATAGTTGTTTTATTGCAATTACATACAGGCTTCATTTTGAAAGTGATTAAGTAATCAACTTGGTAATTGATAATGACATCATAATTGAAAAGAAAAAGTTATTTCGCACATTTAATTAAGCGTGGCTTAATACGATGACATGTTAACAAACCGGGTATACACGGGGTGTTACAACCACCACCATCATCGTAGCCACTGCCATCACCACGACCACGCCACCACTACTACCGCCATCGTCGCTGCCGCCACCCCCATTACTACCACCACCGCCACCATGTCATCTCCATCACCATCATTGTAGACATTGTTATCACTACCACCACCACCACCATTACCACCGCTTCCGCCGCCATCACTACCATTATCATGCCACTGCCACCGCCACCACTACGCCACCGCAACCACCATGTGATCATCATCACCATCGTCGCAGCCACTGTCGCTGCTGCCACCACTACCATTATCATGTCATTGCTACCGCCCCACCACCATGCCGTCACCATCAACACCACTACTGACACCACCACCATCGTTGCGGCCACTGTTGTCACCACCACCACCACCTCCTCTACGTCACCGCCACCATCATAACCATCACCATCATCGTAGCCACTGCCATCACCACCACCACGCCACCACTACTACCGCCATCGCCGCTGCGGCCACCCCCATTACTACCACCACAACCACCACCACACCACCGCCACCATGTCATCTCCATCACCATCGTCGTAGACATTGTTGTCACCACCACCGCTGCCACCGCCACTACCATTACGCCACCGCCACCGCCGCCGCCACCACTACCATTATCATGCCACTGTTATCGCCACCACTACGCCACCGCAACCACCATATCATCATCATCACTATCGTCGTAGCCACTGCCGTCACCACCACCACTGCCACCACTATGCCACCGTTACCACCACTTCCGCTGCCACCACTACTATTATCATGTCATTGCTACCGCCACCACCACCATGTCGTCACCATCATCACCACTATTGCCACCACCACCATCGTTGCGGCCACTGTTGTCACCACCACCACCTCTACGTCACCGCCACCATCACCATTATCACCACCACCATCACTGTCACCACTATTATCACTACCATCGCCGCAGCTACTATCGTCACCACAACCACACCATTATCACCACCATACCACCATTACCACCACCGCCGCTGTCACCATTACCACTGCTGTCGCCGCCGCTACCATTTCATCACCACTATTGCCACCGCCGCCGCCGCCACCATACCATCAACTCCACCACCACAACCACACAATATGAAAAGAAAAGTGATGATCCAAAATTTTTTATGCTTAATAGGAATGATTTTTTATTCTATTATTTGTTGTGTTATCAAACGCAATTCTCATTCTCGGAATAAAAATAAAACATGTTATCAAACACATTTTTTTTCTCAGAAATTATTCCAAGGCACATAAATAAAAAAGAATTGTTTCTTTTAAGAAACAGTGCCAGAGAACAGAATGGTTGTCATGCACACTCTTAATGAACCCGAGCCATGTATATATGTAAAACGATTGGAATCCCCCCTCCAAATTTTGAGTGCTATGTTGTAATGGTTATTTGGGGGGAAAAAAGGATCTGGAGCCATAAATTATGTAAGTGGAAATAGATTTTTCTGCATACCTCAGCCATTATAATCCAAGGGATTGGTCCAATGCCGAGAGAAAAACCAATGACCAAAGCCTAAAACAGGAACAATTGTTCAAATTGTACTGGAAATTTAAAGCTTGACAGGAAGAAACATGCCAAATCAATAAAATCATACCACAAGCCCCACAACAGAGAGCATTGCTAACATTTGACGAATGTGAGCATCATCTGATACGACTGCCTGGATTCAATGAAACAACGCCATTATTTAATATAAACATTACTAGTTAAGTTACTGATCGATGTTGAATTGAAGTTAATTTGAAGGTTAATTAGTGATTACCAACCTCCAGATAGAATGATGTAGCAACAAGGAGGAGGCTAAGTGTCATTACAGAGGAGGATACCTGCAAGTAATTAATGATAATTAAAGTTTTCATAATTCTTTATGTCAAAAAAATATTTATCATTTTAAAATATATAATTTTGGGGAAAAAAATGACACACCTTATATCCTTTCATTATCACAAAGAGGTGAAACTCACACCTTTAAAAAAATTTCTTCTCATTTTCTCTCCCATGATTTATGTCTTTCTCTCACTTAAAATGACATAATTTTATGTCCTTTAAAATAATACACACTTTCCCCATAATTTTGTGTCCTAAAATATTGGTCATTTTAAAAAATACAAATTTGTGTCATACGAGAAATGAGCGCTTCTCTCTCCTCCATTATACTAACTTCGTCTAAGGGCATATTTATTGTTTTCTATATTCTCTATCTCCTATAATTTTGTGGAGGAAAGAGAATATAAAATACCATTGAATATGCGCCAAACTACTCTTGTTTAACTTAAAATGATAAAAAATTATATTTTCTAAAACGGCAAACATTTTCCTTAAAAATAATTAAATTTCCCTTAATACGCACTACTAGAAGGATCCTTCGACCACTTTTGTCCACCAACCAAGTAGAGATCCCAGTCATTACGACCTGCGTATGTAAGAAAATTGATAATGATAATTAGTTTGATATTTTAATACTCACATGAAGGCAATAATATCTATTCGAAAACATATTTAATTTTTTACCTGAATAGCTCCGAGTCCAAATGTAGCAGCGTCGCTGGAATAAATTCCTATTATACCGTGAGGTCCACGATAATTCAAGACGCAAAGGACATAAAAGGTTTAACTCAGATCAAGTTGCTAATAACAAAGATACAAGAATGTTATATGACAGCAAATCGACAATTAATTAATGGTAAAAAAATCTAATTAATTACCTGCTCTTGAAAATATCTTACTAGAATAGAAAAAAACACTATTGATACCAGAAAGTTGTTGGAGCATAAGTAATCCAATACCTACCTGCATGGAGCATGCACTCAGTTACCAGAAGTCATAAGGATTGAAATTGAGCTATTTGGCAAATAAATGAAAGCATAAGAATCATTTAAGGGGAGGGGAAAAGTGATAAGAGGAACAACAAATCGAATCATAGTATCATACCATCAAAGGAAACCAATATCCTCTCTTCTTGAGATCTGCTAACTGTATACCGTGTGTCGATGTGTTGTTCGATGCCAAAGATCCCTTCCATCATGAACATGTCTCATTAGAAGTTTGGTCCAAGTAAAGAGCGATTGGCCCAAGTTTGACATAATATCCACACACACACAGAGGTTAATGTATAACTCATAGGATACCGCCCACATGTATGTGTGCATAATAGATAAAGTTATACATTTTTTTTTCAGATAGAGAGAAGAAGAGAAAAAATAAAAGAAAATATAGAGTTCGTCCACTTGTACGTATGTGCAGAAAATAAATTAGGAATTAAAATTATCTTCTAAAAATTATTAACCCTATATATATATAGGGTTAATATTTTTTATATTATATAAGAAAAATTTATCTCATATATAAGTATAAAAGTGTGTGAGATCCATGTGGGCTTATATGAGAAAAAGAAATAAATAAAAAAATATGGATCCCATATATTTTTATATGAGTAAGAGATAAATTTATTTTACACAATATAAAAAACAATAAATTATATATATATATATATATATATATATATATATATATATTTCTCCTATTGTTAGAGAAAAACATACCTCCTGACATAAAAAATGTGTCACCCTTATTTTTTTTCAAATTGGTGAAACTCAACATTTTTGTGTTTGCAGCAAGAGATAAAATATCTCTTTGATTTCTCCGGTCAATAGAGATAGGTTATCTTTTGGGAGCTCAAAATAATGTCGTTTTGGGGGCAGAAATCAAGGCATTTTTGTAATTTTAATATATTGCAGGGTTATATTAGTCTTTATTATTATAATTTTTTATTCTTATAACCCAAAATGACTTTATTTTGAACTCACTGGAGATAATTTTATCTTCGGTGACTAGAGAAATATTTTTTCTATATATAAAAGGGTTTTATATATAATTTTTTTTTTTTTTTTGCAAGTGAGTTTTATATATAATTCTTATGTAACATGAGAAGGAAATTTGTTTTTACATATTATTCGATTTTCATGCTGACAAGGATCCTACACATAAGTTTTTGTTATTCTTACATAACACAAGAATTATAAATCCCGTATATAAAAGAAGGGAAGTCAGTTTGTCATGTTGTACGAATGATATTGTTTCTTCCAGCAATATGGATTCGGTTCCGTATCCTGAGGATCCAGTTCTGTATCCTGACTTTTTTTTTTAAGCGTGGAACTCATACTTAATTTGTGTGTGCAGGTAAAATACTTTTGTTATGTGACATGAAAAAAATCGAACTAGTAATATATTTGATGGAGTACCTGGATTTCCTGTGCTTCCATAGTAATATCAACACGGGATCCTCGTAAGGTTTGTAAAGAAGCTTCAAACTTTTTTGTCATCCCCATTTCGGCCTAGACATTTATGAAACCAGAATAAAATTAAAATTTAAATGAAAAGGTTTTCCAAAATAAGTGGGGTTTGGTTCCTCTGAACTCTGATTGACCGTCTGATCTTTGGAAAGCAGATTGCATGTAAGTGACAAAAGATGGGTATACACAGAAATCTAGTTAATATAATACATTTTGTATGATGCATACCAACCATCTAGGTGATTCTGGAATGAAATATAACCCAGGTATCAATATTGCACAGGGAAGAACTCCTGCAAAGAAATAGAGAAATGCTTCATTATATTAATAAATACTTTTTTGTTCGTTTTTCCTTATCTTAAATAAGAATTTTGTATATTTGTAAGGTATAAAAATTACATATTTCAATTTTGTACAAAGAAATCCGCTATGTGTTGAATGTTGCATACTAGCTTTTGCATAAGAGGATATTTTTTAGACTCTGAACATTTGGTAATGAAGCAGCAACTTTTATAGTTATTGTAATGACCCAAAATTTATTCAAAATTAAAAATAAAGCAAGGAGTCATAACCAATTTTATTTAAATTAAAAAAATTCGAAAAACATTCTTATTTGGCAAACTGTTTAAGAATATGAAGTAAGTTGTAAAGAACCAATTCAAACTAAAAGTTTAAGCTATTTGGTGAGGGCCTTTTCAATTGGTTATATTATTCTCTAACATATTCTTCGTCGTGCAAGAGCCCTTTGAGCTTGGATATTGCACAGACCCAAATTTTGGTTCTACCTTGTGCTAACTTAATTCTACTAGAAAGTGGGGGGCGACGGGGGGCGACGAGAATCGAACTTGAGGCTACATTAATGGCTCTGATACATGAGGTCACTAACCATGTGAAGCAACCAATTCAACTCAATTGCTTAAACTTGTAAGTGAAAGTCCATCAACGATTTTCATATTATATCTCTCTATCATATCCCCTTATACAAGAGCCATTTGGACTTGAAGCATGGACATGACACAGGCGCAATTTGTGATTTTATCTTGTATTGACTTAATCCCACTACAAAGTAGTGGCGATGAGGATCGAACTAGCAATCACTTGGTCACATTGCCTTTGATATCATGTAAAGAATCAATTCAACCCAAAAACTTAAGCTGTTGGATGAGAGTCTTTTTAATAGTGTTTCAAAAAAAAGGTCTTTTTAATAGTCTATAATATTCTTAACACAAAGTTCGAGAGTTTATGTGTTAGTCTAATTATGCACATAGAATGATATAAACTTAATCTTAGTGCACCCCTGTACAAATTATTAATAATTATAAAATATTTGTTTGACTCAAATTAAATAATATGGACAATAATATTATTTACAAAAACTAAATTTCAAAGTTTTTCTTTAAAGGTTAAGGAAAAATTCCACTCTGACATATCCTCCAAGTCAAGACCACATCGTTTTTCTAAGAAAACATATTAATTTTACTTTTGCAAATACTTTAACAGAGTTTTATTCTTGAAAATTTATTTTATTGAATTTGTGAATTTTATATCATCAAATTATCACAACCAAAATGACTTAAATAAAATTTTAGGATTAACATGTTGTCCAACTTAACTAATGTTTTGAAAACAAAAACCAGTTGCCCGCCATTATTTATAATAGGGAAAGATAATGATCATTTTTTAAAGAAAAGTTTGGATTACCAAGTTGTCACAATTAGAGTGATCCTAAGTAAAACTACAAGATTAAGAGATCGCCACTATTAAATTAATCCCTTTTAAATTATTATAAAACACATGTAATAATATAAGAAGAATCCTAACTCATTAACATATATATAAAATAAAAACAAATAAGGAAATGTGTACAATATAAAATGATAAATTTAAATAATATTGAATTTTAAATAATATTGTACCATCAAGCTCTCATAGGTAAAAAATATGAGATGAACAAGCAGCTATGGCCTTTTGTGTGAGAGTGCATGTTAGAGGTGGTATATAAAATCCTCATCCAACAACTTAGGCTTTTGAATTAAATTAATTTCTGTATGGTTTTTGTTTGACTTTTGAACAAGTCTTGGATCTAAAGCATATACGGACTCCATATATATAGGGGAAGGGAGAAGGATGAGACAAAGTCCCTCAAGCCTCTCCAATGTGGGACTTCAAATAGAAGGAGATGGTTTCTTTCCATGTGAGACTTCAAGGTCTCTCTTACCCATTTTTTCTTTAATGATTTTTAATATATATTTTTCTATCAACTAAAAACATTGATAAAATAAGTTTTTATAATTTTATTTAATTTTTAAATTTAAAATAATTAAGACAAAATTAGATGTTCACATTTATGTTGCTTGTTTAACATTCATATTCGAGCAAATTAAAATATTTATGCTTAATATGAGGCATGTATTAAATATTTTAAAAGTATTCCAAATAAAAAAAAATGGATAGAGTGGTTTCACCCTAGTCGTAGAACTAAGGGCAAACACAATTCAAGTCACATAGTCATTGGTAATGCGTAATAATTCTGCAAAGGATATAGTTAAATATTCACCTAATAGTGCTAGCGTTCTCCAGTTGACAAATACGCCCAACAAATAAGCCAGCATTATCCCGATCGTAATCGAAAGCTACAAGAAAATAACATAAATATAAAATATTAGTAATTGGAGAAGAGCAACAACGCATGTAAGGCTCTTTGTCAAAGCAACTATTGAAAATTAAGAGACGAAATGATTTGTGAAATAATCTTAATATTGAATAGATACAGGTGTGTACAATATATAGAAAATCTAATCGACTTAGCCTAGACTTAACTTAAATACTAATAAAGAAAATATGGTATCTACTATCTAGAGCCTAAAACAAGAGGAATCTTGATCCTTTTCTTTTTTCGGTGAACCCACTGTTCATCGTCTTTTCAAATTTTTTCGGGTACTGTCTCCTTATCCGTTTTCGGACGTCTCTTTCATTCTTATATTGTATTTTCATCGTTGCTAGATCTTTTTCTCCTCGAACGGACGTCAGATCCCCATTATCGTCGCTTCTCCGTCGTTGACCACCACCGTCCAGTGGCCTTTTCCGACGAGCCACTATCCTCGTGCTCGTCTCGGCAACGCGGTCTCGTCTATGCCGATCGCATCCCAAAAAACTTCCCCTCATGCTCTCATGCGCCCGTGAAAGTGTCGTCTCCCTCTTCGGTTGGCCGGTGCGTGGAAGCTCTATTCCGACAGCGACCAGCTAGGTTTTTCTCTTCTCATTGCGACGGTTCTAGATTTGGTCCTATTTTGGTGTTTCTACATCGTTTTTGTTGATGCACAGATCCCACCCCTACCGATTAATTTTGTGATCTGTCTTTCTGATTTTCTGATCTTTCTTTTGTTGGGTGATTATGCATTCCCCTACCTCTTCTGTTTTTGAGTCTCTAGTTTCCCCCAAGTCAGAGTCTACTATTTTTTCCAATTATATCCTTGCTCGCTAAGTGTGAATAAATTAGCTCGGTCGAACTATGATTATTGGTCGTCAAATCAGCGACTTTGGTTAGATAGGTAGAATTATACATCCCATCTCACTACTAAGGCTGACTTTATTGCGGATAATGAGCTCACACGATGGATGATGATTGATGCTCAGTTGTGCAGTCTCATTAAAGCTACTCTTCATCCTTCAATTAAGCAGATTTTTCAACCTGCAAATACCTATGAAGCTATTTGGAGTCAGGCAAAGGCATTGTACACCAATGATAAACAGTGTCTCTATAGTGTGTGTCAGAAATTGATGACTACCTTTGCCCTTCGAGATTTCAATTGTCCTATATCTGAGTATTTGGGAAAAACTCAGAGTTTTCTTCACGATCTTAATGAATTTCTGCCCCTTACTGGTGATGTTAGTAAGTAGCAGGAACAACATAATAACCTTTTTATATTGTTTATTTTATACGGTTTACCTTCCCATTTTTCTGCCAATCGAGATCAAATTTTGGGGTGTGCTACAGTTCCTACACTGGATTCTGTGATGTCTACCTTACTTAGGATTCCATCTAAGCCCTCTACATCATTAGCACCTTCTACGACCCATATACCTCCAGTTCACACCGTTGACCCCTCTTCCCTTGTTGCTCAGGATTCTGGTCGTGGATGTAAATCCCCTGTCGACTACTCTGCACCCATTGTCATCAAACCAATCATACTATTGATTGTTGTTGGAAGCTTCATGGCAAGCCACCTCAGCCTCCTCAGAATACTCATGTTGCTCAGGCTTCCTCTAGTGCTCCTGTTCCAGGGTTACTTTCCATTGCGCAACCTCCTACCGCTCTTCTTAATGAATTCGTGACTTGGTGTTTTGAGAAGCAAGCATCTGGTCCTACTGCCTTCATTGCTCCTACTGGTAATTCTTTTGCTGGGATTTTTCAATTACACTCTCTAGACCCTTGGACTCTTGATTCTATGGCTTCTGATCACATTTCTGGTAATAAGTCCTTATTCACTTCTCTTTGTACCACTGGTTAATTTCCTACTATTATTATGGCCAATGGGTTTCTGGTCCAATCCTATGGGATCGACACAGTTCTTCTTTTACCTCTGGATCATGTTCTCTATGTTTCAGATTCTCCTTTTAACTTACTTTCTATTAGTTGTTTGACAAAATTCATTGATTGTGTTGTTTTCTTTACTAAAACTTATGTCATATTTCAGGATCGGAGTTCGGGAAAGGAGATTACCAAATGATGTGAATTTTATGGCCTCAATCAACCGTTTCCTTCTTCTTTAGTCTACTCTACTGTGAATTCTCCTCTTACTAACCATGCTCTAAGACCATATTGAATAACAAGAGACGAAAGAAATAGTGAAATAATCCATATATTAAATAAGTACGGGTCTGTAAAATATATTAAAAACCTAATAAACTTAGCCCAAACTTAATCTAAATACTAATAAATATATATATATATATATATATATATATATATATATATAATATTATTTCCAACATCAACATTTAGCCAACCTGGTTCACAGATCCAAGGCTACCTCTCATTGTTCGAGGTGATATCTCTGCTATATAAACCGGCACCTAAGAAAAATAGAAAAACCCATGTATAAATTAGTTACCTGATGGATCAAAAATTAAAAAGTTATATTTAAATGGATCAAAAAATACATATACACACACCCACAGACAAGGAATAAAGTTTGGATAATACTTTTCTTATGTTGCATAAGAGAAATATTATCTCCTACTCAAACAATAAATAAGAGAGAGAAAAAAGTTAGAGGTGAGAGAAAAAAAATTTGTGAAATCCATTTACAAAATGTAAGTGTAAGAGATAATACTTCTCTTATGCAACATAAGAAAAGTAATTCTCATAAAATTTTATCAGGATTACCACATAAGAGATTATTCCCACGCCAAAACCTTCCAATAATCTTCCCATATATAGAAGCGATGACTCCTAGAAAAGAAGTAAACGATATAGCATGTCATTAGAAAGCAAGAAACTTGCATGGCAACATTCATGGTAACAAACTATATGTTAATACTTACTTTGGCTATAGAAATGACGAGCCATCCAAATATATTTGGGACTGCTGCGAATATTAGTGACTGCAATTCAACATGTCACAACGATAAATTTCGAATTAAAATTCCTAGTTTTTTATATCAATTTTTTTCATAGTCTAAAGGTGAGACTATACTCCCTCCCTCTTCACATGAAAAGATAACATATTCATATCCAGTTTTTAGTAAGCTATACTGACTTTAAGAAGATTTAAGAGAAAATCTCAAATCATTTTTAGAAGGAAAATATGATTTTATTGTTTGGGAATTCAAACGCAAGTATAAGTCCTAATCCAATATTTACTCCCCCACGTAGTGATTAACAAACCCAATTGAACTTGAAGCCGCACAATAAGCAAACATATGATATCACGATTTCAACCCAATTATATATATATATAAATGGTCCCTATTTAATCCATTCCTAGTTAATGTTGGATTTTACTATTTGAATTCGCTAACATTTATTTTTAGTAAATAAAATCTTTTAAAAATGGATATATACATATAAGGAGAATGTTATATTAACAAACTTTTTTTCTTACAAACTTACAAACTACACTAAGTCTGACTAGTTATACACTCTTAATTGAAGTCTGATTAGTCAGACTTAAGTGTAATTTGTAAGTTTGTAAGAAAAAAAGTTTGTCAATATAACCCCTCCATAGATATAAAGCAAAACAAAATGATGAAAACATGTTGGTAATAGTATAATACCCCCTTACGCCCAAAGGTTTCTGCTAGTTGACCACTGACGGTTGCTCCGACCATTGCACCAATGTTGGATAAAGATCCAAAGAGAGAAAACTGTCCCAACAAGATATTAAACAAAATAGTAATGAGATAAAAAAAAAATCTTGAAAAAATAAAGGCCACTCAATCAAATAAATACCTTTTCAATTGAGAGATTAAGATCTTTAATCATAGCTGCTTGCGTTGGTGAAGAAAAGCCACACTGTATAAACACAATAATATGACACCGCAAAACGAAAAATAATAATAATAATAATAATCATCATCATCATCAAAAGCATGTGCATGATAGAAAAGACGTATAAAGCAGGAAAAATGGGGGAAGTGTGAAATTGTAGGTGTAGAATGCAAGCACCGTGAAACCGAATTGAATAGGACCCAAAGCAACGATGAGAACGCATAGCACAACAAAGAAAGAGCCACTTCCAGCGTTTTTTTTTACGAGTGGTTTCTTAATGTCCTTAGCATCCTCATCCGCCCCCGAAGGCATTGCCTCGAAAATTCGAAGGTTTCGATAGAAAAATGTAGATTCAATTCTAAGAGTTTGTGAAAGGTCAAAAGGAACAGGGCCTGAAATGTTTATAGGTGGAGCTAGATTATAGCTTACAATTTAGATGTCCTTGAGACTTGTCCGCGTCATTTCGACATGCGAGAAATGTGGAGACCAAAATATCCCATGACCAAGTCAACCATGTTTAAGCTGTATATTGTTGCGAAATCGGTAAGTATACTGTTCGTTTCAAGTAATAAAATGATAAGTAAGATATCGTCCCACGAAAACCAATGCACCAATGTCTCTGGAATCTGAGTCTCTATTTATAGACTTTGTGCCCTTGTCTAGAAATTTTGATCAAATTTTCATCTTATATCTTGGATCCAATCTCCTCTGATACAGTCTGAGATAAGCATAAAAATTACCACGTGCCTCTCGTGCTACTAGCACTAAGTTGGCGCTGATAGTGTGGAAGTGTTGTCTGAATACAATAGCTTCGCGCTACTAGCGTGAGTCCTGCGCTGATAGCGCGGTTGGCAAATGGCTAGCGCTGACAACGCCAGTGCCACGCTAGTAGTGTAGTGGTTCAGTGTTGGAAAGTGATGTTGGCGCTGATAGCGCCAGTAGCGCGGGGGCTTCAGACTTGTGCTTTCAATTGAGCTTCTTTCTTGTCTGTTTTCCTACAAAAATATAAGAAATTCAGTGACAAGATATTTGATTAGGATTTATCAATTTAATAGCAATTATAGCCCTTTTTTATTCATGTTTGATCAAGATTCTTTTTCTTTTTGGCTTAAAATCATATATATGCTGGAGGCATATCAAATAATTTCCAGATTTGAACGTTGTTGTCCTCAGCAATGTAGTAGATCAAAAATAGAACAAGGACGAATTCTATGGAGATAAAGACATGGAACACGAATAACTTAAGAGATCATAATGCTATGCATGTATAACTTCACTGTTGAAAAATCCAAACAATGTTTTTCAGTTTTATCAAGAATTTCAGATCATAACTTGAATGTTCCTGACTAGATAAATATGTAACTCTCATCACTCTAGTGTTTGGATGGTTTCACACTCATTCCATCAATGTAGTAGTAATTCCATAGGCTTGATCATATTCTCAAGTCCCTAAGATTGATGGACCCATTTGACATGCATAGACTGATCAAAAGGTCTTGAAAGGTTGTAACTTGGCCTGGTTTGGGGGTAAGAATCTTTTGGACAGATGCTGATTAATTTGCGAGACTGAAATACTGAGATTTCTGACAATGCTTCCTTCTCAATTTTTATTTCTGCCACTTTTCGTCAATTCAGGATTCTTATTCCCTTTTCACTACCTTTTTCTTTCCTTGTTTGCAAATGTTTTCTTTCTTTTCTCTTTCGAACTGCATTTTTGCAGACCATTCTTCTTTTTACTTTTTCAACTTACTTAACTTTTCCTTTTTGAGAAGTACCTTGACTTTTCTTTTTATCAGCATTTCAATCTCTTTCAAGGTGTGTCAATGGGAACAGGGTTAAGTAATTTTCATCATATTTTTGAATAAATTGGTCTAAGGCTCAAAATGGCTTAACAATGGAAAATTTCTTCTAGGTAGGCTATTTGGCTCTAAGTTAACAAGAATAAACGTGCTTTTATCATGTCAGTAATGCATGCAAAATAGAGAAACAGTTCAAGTTCTAGAAGACTATTACAGTGAAGCCTCTTTGAAAAAATATTTATTGTATAGGCTTAATCCTCACGGATATAATTCAAGCTAGAATTCAATTTCAAAATTTCACATCAAGCATTATCTAAAAATTATTCACCAAAGCAGTTATACAAACGAGCAATCATCACTCTCAGATTATCTAGAAATTTAATGTTCCACAGATATCACATGTACTTCTTATGATTCAATCTATTTAATTGCTGAGTAAGCTTTTGCAAAATCTAGGAATGCTTGTTCAGGAATTCACTATTTTTTTTTTCTAAAAAAAAAAATTAAATTGAAAATAGCAGAAAATAATAAAAAGAAAGGTTAAAGTGTCTCCCCTTGTTAACAGAAAATTTTTCGGTTAGACGTCTCTGTTGTGCGATTTCGTAGTTAGCAGTTATCGCTTATGATATGCGTCCAATTCCCAGATTTAGAATGTTGTTGTCCTCAGCAATAAACAAAACTAGTCGAGTGAAGCTATTTCTGCGTAGGTGGAACACACACACTTGTTAAACGGAAAACAGAATAATCATAACAGTAAAATGTACGAAGAGACATAACCAAAACAAAATATCCAAAACAAAATATCCAAAACAGCAAAACAAATAAAAATACTAAAGTCAAAGTAAATGGTGAAGTGTGGACTTCCTGGCGCTGACAGCGCGAATCTCGCGCTTACAGCGCGAATATTTTATGGAATTTTTGGCGCTGATGGGGCAACCTTGACGCTTACAGCGCGAACTTACTGTGAAATTTGGAATTACTGGCGCTGACAGCGCCAGCTGTGCGCTGTTAGCGCGCGTGATGCTCAATTACGAAGTATCTAGAGCTGATGGCGCCATTTTTACGCTGTTAGCGCGGACTTACTGCTTCTTTTTATTCTTGTGGCGCAGTAGCACCAGGTTGATGCTGATAGCGCCAATTTCCAGATTTATGCTTTTTCATCTGTTGTCATTGTTTTCACAATTTACCTCACTTTTTGAAATTAAAACTACCTAGTAAAGATAAAATGAATAACACAGAAAAATGACTATTGGGTTGCCTCCCAACTAGCGCTTGTTTAATGTCATGAGCCTGACGTACCCCTTATGATTATGGTGGTTGGAAGCATGTTACCATTGATGGCCCAGTCTTCTTGATCCAGTATTGTGTCCTTCCATGATCATATGGATGTGGATGAGGAGGAGGGTTCTCAAGAACTTTAAACTTTGTTTTCACATGTTATTTTTTGCTCTTGGGCTTTTCCATCTTAACCTTTGGCTTGCTTTCTTCAGGCTGCTGATGGACTTCCTTCTGGTTTCCTTCCTCAACCTTTTTCTCCTCAATATAGGTTGACGAGGATTAGTTCTCCTGAGGTTGCTAGGAATGGCCTCCCGAAGATCATAGGCACACTGGCATCTTCATCAATGTCAAGAATAGCAAAATCAACAGGAATTAAAAATTTGTTTAGCTTGACGAGCACATCTTCCACAATACCTTGTGCTTGCTTTGTTGAGTTCATCAATGTCAAGAATAACAAAATCAACAGGAATTAAAAATTTGTTTAGCTTGACGAGGACATCTTCCACAATACCTTGTGCTTGCTTTGTTGAGCGGTCTATCAGTTGAACATTCATCCTCGTTGGCTTTACTTCATCAATTCTCAGTTTCTTCATCAGGGTGAGGGGCATCCATTTATGCTGGCACCAAGATCGCATAAGACTTTCTCTATAGTCGTCTTGCCGATGGTGCATAGAATACTGAAGCTCCCTGGATCTTTCAACTTTGGAGGCAAGTTTTTCTGTATGATTGCACTGCACTCCTCTATTAGTGTAACAGGTTCATCCTCTTTGAGCTTCCGCTTCTTAGATAATGTCTCCTTTAGGAACTTGGCATACGAAGGCATTTTGTCCAGAGTTTCTGCAAAAGGAATGTTAATTTGCAATTTCTTAAAAAATATCTAAAAATTTAGACAATTGCTTCCTTCGCTCATGTTGCTTGCTCCTCATAGGATATGGAGGTTTCTCAAAACGTGAGAAATCTCATTGCTTCTTTTGAACTACAGGAGGTTGATCCTTTGCTTCTTCCTTGTCTTTTTGTGTGTGTTCATTCTTGCTTGTAGGAGCTTCCACTTTTTCTAGATCCTCGCTTTTAGTAGTGATGGCATTGCAGTGCTCCCTTGGGTTGATTATGGTGTCACTGGGGAATGTTCCTGGATTTCTCTCAGCTAGCTGCCTAGACAATTGGCCTATCTGATTTTCCAAGTTCCGGATGGAAGCATCTTGATTCTTATGATAGGCTCTTGTCTCATTTATAAAAGCATCAGTGGTCTGGATATGGTCATTGATGGTTTTAAAAAGCTGCAGCATTGCTTTCTCCAGTCCAGACGGATCCTTCTAAGGAATAAGAAGAGGTTGTAAGTAATTGTTGGATTTGTAATCCAAACCTCCCCCTTGAACTCTCCTTTGGAAATTGTTCCCTGGAGCATTGTTCTAGTTCCTCTGGAAATTCTGCGATGGTCTTGGATCATACCTGACTCCATTAACTTGGAATGCATCTGATCCTACCAGTGTTGGGCACTCGTTGGTCTCATGCTCTCTTTTGCAATACTCAATGTTAACTGAATTAACTTGAGCTGTAGAAATCTGCATCTTGTCCAACTTAGCATTCATACTGGCGAGCTGTTGAGATATACTCTTTTGTTCAGCTAACACCGCATCATTATTCCCCAATTGCAGAAGTCCCTTCCTTGGTTGAACGGGTTGGACTGCCATAAATGCATTCTCGTTCTTTACCATGTAGTTAATCAGTTCTAAAGTTTGAGCTGTTGTCTTCTTCCCTATGGTTCCACCAGCTGCACCATTGACAATCATTATGGAATCCGGTGTCATCCCATTGTAGAAGATCCTGACTTTCTTTTCGTCTGGCAAATCATACAGGGGGCACTTTCTGATCAATTCTTCGAATCTGGTCCAAGCTGCACACAGAGTCTCTCCTGGCTGTTGAGTGAAGTTGGTAATTTCATTAACCAACTTGTTATTTTTCTCCATGGAAAAGTGTTCTGCAAAGAACTTGGCTGCCAGATCATCCCATGTTCTGATACTATTGGGAGCTTGTCGATCCAACCATCTAAGAGTTTTCCCTGTTATAGCAAAAGGGAATAACCTCAATCTAATGGCATCATCTGATACCCCATGGTGCTTGGTAGTGTCACAGATTCTTAGAAATTTGTCCATGAAGTCATGGGGGTCTTCATAATCTTCACCTCCAAATGGAGTTTTCTCCACCAATCCTATCAATGACGGATGAATATCATAAATGTTAGCATTGATTCATGGTCTGACGATGCTAGAAATTGGTCTTGTGAAAAGAAGAGCAAGGATTGACTCCATCAATTCATCCTCCGATGGTTGATTAGGATTTTCTATCTCGGGTTCTGCTTTTGACTCTGAATTCAAAAATTCCTCTTGCTTCCTTAGATTGGTTAGCTTCCGGTTCTTCGTTGCAGTCTTTTTGATTTCTGGATCAAACTGTAAAGGTTCGCTGTTAACTTTACCTCGCATAAAAGAGAGAAATCAATTAGTAACAAAATAAAAATAAAAATTCCAATATCAAAGATCGAAAGTTAAAACTAATATTGGCGTAATTAATCCCCGGCAATGGCGCCAAAAACTTGTTGCGAAATCGACAAGTATACTGTTTGTTTCAAGTAATAAAATGATATGTAATATATCGTCCCACGAGGATTAATGCACCAATGACTAATTTTAACTATTTCCTTTTTAATTGGAAAAGAAAATTGGTTTTATTGTGAAAGTGATTGGTTGTTGTAATTTAAAAACAGAATTTTAAAAACAATAATATTTAAAAGCATGCAAGAATTAATCAAGAATGTCAAAGAAAATATGAGTTATGAAAAATTGTAAAAGAACTGTAGTCATGATGCACTTCACCTCCGATCCTCCCTTATATTCCTAAATTATATTTTATAACTAACTAGTTTATTAGCTCAGACAATTCATTATTTCTCTATTAAATAGTTGAACCCTAATGTCTTAGTGATTTCAATCCTTTAACCCAATTAATTAGAATCCTAGTGTCCAAGTAATTCCTCTTGAATTTAGCATTAAGCAAATGAATTAAACAGTTTGCAATCTATGTAAGCCTATGTCTAGGTCATGCATAAATTGTTATTCTACCATTGTTCAGATTAAAACTCCAATATGTCTATTGTGAGCTCTAACCCTCAAAACCCTATAATAGAGCGATCAATTCTATCAAGGATATGGAAGAATTAACACAGGCAGAATAAAACTAACTAAACTAATTAAATTATAAAAACAATATACAAACTATAAATGATTAACATTGGGTCCATGATCCCAACTACAAAAAGAAACTAGCCAGACATATCTGGCTTAAACAAATTAAAATAATAAAAATTGTTCATAAAAGCAAAAGAAAAGAAGAAGAAGAAGATGAAGGATCAATGGTCTTCAGTCTTCAACTTTGTTGGAATCCCGATCTCAGTGTGAGTCTCCAAGAATTCTCTCAATTCTTTGTTCTCATAATTCTCTTCAGCCAAAGATGTCTCTGGGGTCTGAGTCTCTATTTATAGACTTCGTGCCCTTGTCTAGAAATCTTGATCAAATCTTCATCGTATATCTTGGTCCAATCTCCTTTGATACAGTCTGAGATAAGCATAAAAATTACCATGTGCCTCCCGCGCTACTAGCGCCAGGTTGGCGCTGATAGCGTGGAAGTGTTGTCTGAATACAGTATCTTCGCGCTACTAGTGTGAGTCCCGCGCTGATAGCGCGGTTGGCAAAAATGGCTGACGCTGACAGCGTCAGTGCCACGCTAGTAGCGTGGTGATTCTATGTTGGAAAGTTATGCTAGCGCTGATAGCGACAGCTCCGCGTCAGTAGCGCGGTGGCTTCAGACTTGTGCTTTCAATTGAGCTTCTTTCTTATCTGTTTTCCTACAAAAATATAAGAAATTCAGTGACAAGATATCTGATTAGGATTTATCAATTTAATAGCAATTATAGCCCTTTTATTCATGATTGGTCAAGATTTTTTCTCTTTTTGGCTTAAAATCATATCTATGCTGGAGGCATATCATATGTTATGTCTCATTCTTATAAAATGATCAAGATCATGCCACCTGGTTGAAATTAATTTAATGTGACAAGGTCATGTTGAAGAGGAAACTGAGAAGGACTGTCCTACCTAAAGCTTATTAAATGGCATATGATATTTGAGACGAAATATCAACTTAGGTTTTGAATTGAATGTTTGGGGGATCAAAACTAGTTCAAATCTGTCTTAAATGCTAATAATTAACATAGAAATAAATTAAAGTTAAGTTCAGTATACCTTTCCTTGGATCGATGCTTTTGTTTTATTCTTAGATTTTCTTGTTTTAGTTAATTAAATTTGTAATGCTTCTCATTTATAGTTCGACTAATTGTTCTTTTTTTCTTTTTCTTTTTCTTTTTCTTTTTCTTTTTTGAGGTGGAGAAATATAGTAAGATTACTTTAAAAGGAATGTTGACTTTTGGTGTACTTTTAGTCATTAGATAGTTATTCATTTCTGTACTTTTTTTTTTAAAAAGATACTAGCTCCGAACAAAAATGGTTCATTTGTAAATTAATTTCAAAACAAGAAGTATTCTTGTGAATTTCTTAGTCCCAATGTAAATAAATCAAAAGTTTTGTATTTATTTTTAAACATAAATTTTAATAAGAGGGTACTTTTGTCCTTTAGACTTGCTTTTTTGGGTTAAAACTCAAAAGTCGGATAGAAAGAAAAAATCAGAATAAATTGTGTCAAATTATTGTTGAATATGCTTAATTTGATATATGGTGAAAAGTGTCCCTAAAGTAATAAATCATAGAGGTATAGGAGCTGATTTTCGGTACATTTGGAGTAAATACTTCTTCGCTAAAAAGAGAAAAATATAAGATAAGGGTGAAAATAATTATAAAAATAAAAATAATATAAAAATATAATTTTTTGATATATTTAAAGGAAATACTAGTATTATGTTGTAGAAAACTAGTATCTCATATCATAAACACAAAATATGTAAGGTCTATTCTTTAAAAAAAATAAATGAGTGGGCAACATATATTGTGTCTATAATATGAAATACTAATTTCTTATAACATAAGATTAATATTTTCCTAGCCACTTGGAAGGTAGGTGGTGTCAAGACACCACCTAATTTTTTAAAATGGTATAAATTTTCTTTAAAAGTTATGATATATGCTTGGCATTTGTTGGAGAGAGAAAAGAGTTGGAGAAGAAAAAAAAAATAAAGCAACGACTGGAGTGGGAGAGTCAGAGTCGAAAAGAGGATTCCTCACTTCTTTCTCTCATTCAAAACCGTGCATGAGACTTTCATCTCGCACGGCTCCTAAGTTACAAAAGAAAGAAGAACTCATCTTCTTTCTTTTTTGATTACCTTCCTCGCGTATGTATAAGACCGAATCCATTCGATTTTGAATTTTCAAAAAGGATTACGAATCCTTAACTTTTCGAGGAATCCTTCATCAGTGGTTGTGAATGACCGATTTTTTTTTCAATCTTTATGATTTGCTCCTACGGAACCGAGGTCGAAAAGATTGAGAAATAGAACCATCTGATTTGATTCGTTCTCAATAGTCACGAGATGATCATCTTAGGGTGATCCTTTTGTCGACGGATGCTCCTATTATACTCGTAGTCTCTGAAGGATGAGAACCAACTATGTAGCATCTACATTGATAATTCAAGTATTGTCTACGTCATTAGTCCGGTCCTTTCTTCCAATGTTCTTCCCTTGGTCTCAGGGACCCATAATGCCGTAAAAACAACAGTAAAGGCAGCTACCACTGTGTAGATTGTGAATGTCCCTGTAGACAGCCAAAAGTCAGCATTATATTGACAAGCACACAAGACATACATGAATCATGAATATTCCAAACAGACATGAAGATGCAAACACGTATGCACACACACAGACCTCCACTGCTCCATGTTAAAAGCAAGTTTGCAGTCAATGTGATCACCCATGAAATCAGCCAATTTGCCATGGTGGCTATACTGCCAGCAAGGCCCTTTATATTCACTGGAAGTATCTGAAAACCATTATTAACAAGAGAGAAATTAGCTATGTATTCAATATATTCAATAAAAACACAATTAACTCAAGTTCTGCAACCATAATTCAATTCCAGAAGTGGCATGGTGCCTTCAGAACCAAGAATACATGAGGAAACCCGTAGGCACTGACTAAATAATGCAACGATTACTTGATCCTTTTTCAGAATATTTATTTTGAATACTGAAAAGTATTTCTGCATACCTCAGACATTATAAGCCAAGGGATTGGTCCAAGTCCTAGAGAGAATCCAATTACCATAACCTAGAAAGAAACCATTGATCAAACTAAGTACTAAAAATCTTAAATCGTACAATAAAAAGAAAAGGTCCAACCTAGCCCAAGTAACATACCACGATACCAACAACAGAGAGTATTCCCAAAATGCTGTATAGCTTAGAATCCTCTGATATGACTCCCTGGTATCAATGAAATAAACTAAATAAAAAAATAGCTAAGCTCCTGAAATTGAATCAAGCTATTAGCATTACCAGTACCAACCTCCAAATAGAATGCTATAGAAACAAGAAGAAGGCTAATTGTCATTACAGATGAGGATATCTGCAGAAGTGAGAATAGATTTTATAAAACTCCATATGCATCTTCTAGTATAATAGATATTAGAAAATGCTTATCAAGTAATGATTTTGCTTCATACTCACTATTAGAAGCAGCCTCCGGCCACTCTTGTCCACCAACCAAGTAGTGATTCCAGTCGCTACGACCTGGGAAAAAGCTGATTATAAGAACTAAATTCACCATCGCTATATTCACATGAAACTATATGTGTATTCCAGGTTTTATTACGCAACCTGAATAGCTCCAAGCCCAACTGTAGCAACACTGCTGGATGAAATTCCTGTTATATTACTTAAGTCAAATACCAAAACAAGTGCAATTTGAAATGTTGAGAGGTATTACAGCTGTCATCTAATACCTCAAATCAGTTTCTTTTACCAAATGCTGAAACCCAAACTAAAGAAAAATATACTTAAAACAGAACACAATTAGCCATTTTTACATTCCTTTTGGTCAAACACACCACTAGCATAAGAAAACAGCTATGAGTGTCATGGAAGCACAACAAATGAAGTGGAGATTAATGCCTCACAAAAGTGAAATTTCCAATGTATATCTACAATCTCAAAGCATGTTGAATTGTGTCAGACAGGTAAATTGAGAATTTCTAGGTTTTAAAGTCCCTTCACCCTATAGATTATTTAACAACAAATACAATGAATATTTAACTAAATCATTGACAGGTAGATCTTACCTGCATTTGAAAAGATGGTAGTTGAATAGAACAAAACTCCATTGATACCACTCAATTGCTGAAGTGCAAGTAATCCAATTCCTACCTGCAGGTGCTCAGTTAGCAAGAGTTCAGATGTTTGAATTTTCATATAAATAATAATAGGACAAGCTTGGGGAAAAAGCCGAACCCAACTAGTTTAGGATAAGTTGATGTTGACATTGAAGCTTGGGAAAAAAGGGTGTATAAAATCAGAACTAAAAAGGAATTATAGAATACCATTAAGGGGAACCAATATCTTTTCCTCTTGAGATCCGCAAATCGGATTGTAGCTCTTTTACCCGTTGATGCCACAGATCTCTAGAAAAAGCAAAGTGGTTAGCAGTGTATAGTTCTTAAATACATATCCTTAAACTATACTCTTAACTTCACCTTATGTATGCATACTATCATGCATGTGACTTGGTTGGCAAAATTTAGCCACACAACAATGAGACAAATACCTTTATTTCATGTACTTCAACAGATATATCTGTGTCAAATCCTCGTAACACTTGCAAAGAAGCCTCAAACTCATCTGTCATCCCCATTTTGGCCTATGCTTCCCCAATTCACCACCAGCCCAGGAAAAAAGAAAAAAAGAGAAGAAGATTAGCAAGAGTAGAATGTCTTAATGATGTATAATGTATTAGGAGTCTTTGCATTATTTTTAATCTATGGATTTGATGATAATTATGTTAGTTAGGATTTTGATATATTTCATTGTTTTTAAGGATTTTATCTTTAATAAATATATGATTTGAAGAAATTTATATTTGATTAGGATTTGTTTATATTGGATTAGAATTATGATTTATCTAGGATTTTTAATAACTTTGGATTATTAATACCCTTAGTTGCCTTATATTATTCATACTTATACATAATGGAATATTGATATTTCTTTCCCTCCGGAGAGCATTTGAAACCTAGTCAGAGGAGTACACTGCCTTAGAGAAAGATGAAAGGTACAAAAAATCAATCAGTACAATGCATAACATATGATCCATACCAACCATCTGGGAGATTCTGGTATGAAAAATAACCCAGGTATTAATACTGTACAAGGCAAAATTCCTGCAACAGAACAGAACATGTTTATTGTTATTATTTTGGTTGCATAAACTGAGTAATGTTATGCTCTACATATTAATGCCTTGAAAGATCGAACCAATATCTATCAAACATTCCATTGGTTTTTAAGAAAAACATGGTCTAATACACAAATTTTACCAAATCAAATTTACTCCACTCCCCCATGGTCAACACTGTTTTATAAATTTGGTTCCTCCCTGATACACACATACCCCAAATATGTTCCTTCTATTTACTGGGCGGATTGACCATCTTGTCCCTATTTTAATAAAAAAATTATCACTTTACCCTTTTGCTCAAACTATATACCAATTTGCCCCTCTTCTCGGACTATATATTAATATGTCCCTGTTTGACCAAAGTTTGACCCACACTTACTAGAGTAAATGACTTCCTAAGGACTAGGGTTATTTTAAACTTTGATCAAACAGGCACCGATTACTATATAGTTTAAGAAGAGGGGTAGATTGGTATATAGTCGGAGAAAATTGATAAAGTGGTAAATTGATTTTAAAAGAGGGTAAAATGGTCAATCAGCTATATTTCTGTCAAAAACTTCATGAAACATGTCCCGAACCAATAATCCGAAGCACTAACGCTGTTGGATAAAGGAACATGAATTGTTTTATTACAACTCTTAACATGCTCCTAAAGTATACAGCCCATAGGGCTTTAAGCATGAAAAATGCACAAGCTCGCACTACCTGCTGAAATTCAACTTTCAATTTAGAAACAAGGATCGAACTCCATACTACCTTGGTCATAAATACTCAAATACCATGTCATAAATCAACTATCCAAAAGTTTAAGTTGTTGAGTAAAGGAACATAAATTGTTTTATTATGGCTCTAAACAAAACTGATTTGTTACCTCAAGGTTATTAAGAGTTCCATTTGTCCATCAACAAAAACTGAACCAAGAAAATCATCAGGAATTTACCTAGAATTGCAAGCACTCTCCAGTTGACAAAAAGGCCCAACACATAAGCCAGCAATATTCCAATTGTAACAGAAAGCTGAGCCAGAATAATTACACGAATAACAAATAATAAATTTCAAATATAACCCAAAAAATTAAAAAAGACGAGACTCGGATTCAGAAGCAACAATAAGCTTTCAACCTGGTTCACTGATCCAAGGCCACCTCTCATATTTTGAGGTGCTATCTCAGCTATATAAACAGGCACCTAAACAGAAAAAAAAAAAAAAAAAAAACAGCAGCAAGCCCACTTTCACTCAGCAATCTTCCCAATATGCCCAACAAATAAAAGATTAAAAAATGCGATCAGATTTACCACATAAGAGATAATCCCAACGCCAAAACCTTCCAACAACCTCCCCATAAACAAAAACGAGGAGTCCTATAAAAGCAACAATACATCATATCAGGCAACAAACCTAGATCACATAAATAAAAGTAGCCATCGTATGAAAACCAAACCACACATGCTGCTTGCAAACAGTGCTTACTTTGGCGAAAGAAATGGCGAGCCACCCAATTATATTGGGAATTGCAGCAATCATCAATGACTGCAATATTCAAACATGCCAAAAAACCACCAATCATTCATTACATTCACAGTTATTCCTTTAACAGATTGAGTTCAGAATAAACAAACAAAAACACAATAGACAAAAAAATACCCCTTTGCGCCCAACGTATTCTGCTATCTGACCACTGGCTATAGCTCCAACCATCGCACCCACATTCGATAAAGATCCAAACAGAGAGAACTGCAACATCCCCAATATCAAGTCAGTACCTTTAAACCAGAAATAATAAACCCAAGAAACAAACATAGCAAAACCTCCGAAATCGAGAGCCCTAGATCGCTGATTATAGCATCTTGAGTCGGAGAAGAATACCCACACTGTGCAAAATTAAAAAAAATAAAAATAAAAAAATCAGTAAATTTTGTTTGTGATGATCGAAAATTGGAAACGAATTGAAGCGAAGCAGACCGTGAAACCGAATTGAATGGGGCCCAAGGCGGCGATGAGGACGCAGAAGAGAACGGAGACGGAGCCATCGCGCATGACCTGAGTGGTGGACCCCATCAAGCTGGATTGCCTCGAACCCATTTTGTACCAGCTCCCCGTGTGAAGGAACGGTTTCTGAAGGTCCCTTCCTTCCCCACTCTCTTCTCTGAAACTCATTGTGACACTCGAACGAGCTCGAAGCTATGGCAGAGAATTTCTAAGCTCTAGGTGTTTGTGAAAATGTCCCCCAGAGTTCCGAACAATGCTAATGCAGCAGTGATGAGCTGTGTCGACTGCGTCACTTATTATGAGGCTTTGTCTGTTTAGACAAAACAGAGAGAAAATTATTAAACGACGGTAGGGTTGTGTTTGCTCTTATCTTTGTTATGAATCTTATGATGTTGTGGCTGTGAAGTCATCCGTCCAACGTGTCTCAATGTCGTTTATTCGATTTTCGTGTGCGTTGTGAATTGCTGAGCATCAATAATTCACGGCTTTTATGCTTAATTTGGTAAGAAAACTAAAACCTCGTGCGGTGGAGACTGGTAGATGCAATGTGTTTTCACTTTTCCCTTAGAATATGTTTGTTGAATAAATATGACGTTCTGATGTGTTAAATCAAGCAGTAACACAATAAACGCTTTGAAGAAGTCAACAAATAATAAACGAGAAAAGACAGTAACACAAACTAAGTATGAAGAGTTCGGAATATTCAAAAAGAAAAAATAATTCTGATAACAACTCAAAATATTCTCATCATCTAATAAATATCTAATCATTCAACCTTAAGTTACCCATAATGTAAGTATCGTTGATTATAACAAATATTATTTTGGAAATAATGTAACATATGCCTTAATTAATAACAGTCAGTATTTTATATGGATAATCTTTGTCGCAAAGCTTCTTGCAAACGAGTAAAAATCGAATTTTCTTTTTATTTTCTCTTTTCTTTCATTATGAGCCTTCTTTATGTGAGAGTGTAACAGCATGAGCTACTAACCTCCGTGTCTGGTGGCAGCATCACTGTCTCTTTTTCTTTTTTCTTTTTTCTTTTTTTCCAATAAATTGAATTCGTTAGATCTTGAGTTTGTTTGTTCAGACACGCTTCTCTGAATGGCAGATCGTATATCTTTGTTATATCTTTCAAGGGATTTTGAAAGGGGAAAAAAAAATTAAAATAATGTATTTAAATTAAATAATTACGCATTTAATGTTGTTTCGTAAAAAATTATACATCTACTGCACAATGTGACGCCAGTTTTGGGCGTCACATGTGACGCCCCATTGGGGCGTCTTATCCATGGGAGAGACGCCCCAATGGGGCGTCACATGTGACGCCCAAAACTGGCGTCACATGTGTGCTCTATATATTTCCTCACCCACTCCATTCAATTCACACATCTTCTCTCACTCTTCATATTTCTCTTCTCCACCAACATTCCTTTATCTTTAATTTAGTATTTGAATTTTAGTTCTAATTCTATTTAAAAATGAGCTCAAATCCTGATTCTGTTCGTGTTGTGTTATATTACAATGGTAGGAAGGTAGAAGGTCGACGAGGTGTCATATTCGAAGGTGAAAAAAGGCCGACACGTATCCAACGCAACACAACCATTGGCAAACTGCATCAGAGAATTCGGCAGAAGTTAAGTCTTCAAGACAACCAATGTATCACTGAGATCACGACAAGGGTGTGGCAAGGTGATAAATACATTAGTTTGAAAATGCTTGACGATGAAGACTTGGAGATGACAATGGAAGAATTTTGCAACCAGTCAAGGACAAATTTTCTACAGTTGTATGTCGACATCGTCGCAACGGAGAATGCTCCCATACCGGTGAGGTTAGTTTATTTAAATTCTCTCCGTCTTCCAGCTTCTCCTGCTGCTCATGCATCTCCAGTTGGTAACTTTTCTGAGGGAGATGAAAATGATCCGACTTGGGAAATGCACGACGAAGATGACGATGAAAATATGGCAATGGAAGAACATCTTCTGGCGAAGGATGGTAGTGCTTCAGAAGGAGATGAATCTCGTGAGATGGGTGCGTCTGAAATCCCAATATTCCATCAACCAGTCGTCGCGCAAATGCCGCAGTTGAATGACGTTGCGTCTGCTCCGTTTGGTATTCCACAAGAAGGTAATTGTTCCCATTTGTATACTGCGTGAATAAATAACTGATTTAATATCTGAATTAGTAAGTTTGTATTCAAAAATTATAATCCGCAATTCCAGGTGACACAGATGTTATTCCTTTTTGGGAAGGAATTCCGCATTATTCTTACATTGATTGGAGTTATCAGAGCGAACAAGAATCATGTACTGATGGTTCGGTGTCTGGATCGGCTTCAATACAAGGTCCGTGGCAACTGGGTGACATGTTATTTGTCAATCAAGAATTTGCTACAAAAAAAGATGTCCAAATGGCACTTAAGCACAACCTTATTAGGGAGCATCAAGAAGCCATTGTAATTGAGAGCACGCCTGCAAAGTTGTCCATGAAATGTTGTGCGTACGATCAAGGTTGTCCGTGGCGCGTAAGGGCGATCAAACCGGTGTTTCGTGAAAATTGGAAAATAACGAGATGGGGTGGAAAACACGAATGTGTGAATGAGCACATTTCCCAGGGTCATAGACAGCTCGATGCGGACGTTATTGCAGATCTCGTGATAGGTACCTTTTTGTATTTTAGATGTGTGAATGAACAAGAATGTGTAATTAAATTCGTTCGATGTTATCGAGGCACTGATATCCTCTTAAATTCGTTCGATGTTATCGAACTATCTGTGTCAATCTCTTTGGTGCAAGAAAGGATAACTGCTAAATATGGCTTTCAAGTTTCCTACAGAAAGACGTGGTATGCGAAGCAGAAAGCGATGGCAATTCTGTACGGTGATTGGGAGGAATCGTATGCTTTTTTACCAAGGTGGTGCGAATACATGCTTCGCTTTTCTCCAGGTTCATTTTATCATATACAAACTAATGATCTTTATGCCGAGCAGAGCTTAGTTTCTGGAAAAAAGGTTTTTCATCGCATTTTTTGGACGTTTAGACAATGTTGTGAGGCGTTCAAATTTGCCAAACCCGTCATCCAAATTGATGGAACACATTTATATGGAAAGTACAAAGGGAAATTGTTGGTGGCCACAGCCCAAGATGGTAATAATGAATGTTTACCGATTGCATTTGCCATCGTAGAAGGCGAAACTTTGGAAGCATGGGATTATTTTCTCGTTAATATTCGTGCTCATGTGACTACGATGTCAAATATATGTTTGATATCTGATCGGCATCGAAGCATAATATCTGCTGTGGAAAATAACCCTACTTGGCAGCCGCCAAATGCGTATCACATATTCTGTATTCGTCATATTGCAAGCAACTTCAATCAAAAGTTTCGAAATGAAGGTTTGAAGCGGATGTTAAAGAATTTAGGTATACTCATTGACTGAATGCGTAATTATTTCTTTCCATTATGACTGTCAATTTATGTTTAATTCGTTCATGTCCAATTTGTGCAGGTTATACTCCAGCAATGGTTGATTTTGAAAGGAATCTTGCGAGTTTCCGTGAAAGTAGTCCTCAAATTGCTGAGTGGATTGATGCGATTCTTAAGGAAAAGTGGTCGCGTGCCTACGATATTGAAGGACGGAGGTACGGTCATATGACAACAAATTTGGCTGAATCTGTCAATAGGGTTTTGAAGGGGGCCAGAAATATGCCTATAACAGCATTGGTTAAGCATACATATAGCAGATTGGTTGCATATTTTGTTGAGAGAGGAACAAATGCTCTTGCACAACTTCAATCAGCTCATCGTCACTCCAAACATGTTGTTGAATTGGTCAAGAAGAACCAGGTAGATGCAACAGGCCACCACGTTCGTGCATACAATGTTGAACATACTGTATTCGAGGTTGACACAGGTTGGGAGCGTTCATATTCTGTCAACCTCCCACAGAGATACTGTCAGTGTGGAAAGTTTAAGGCCTTTAAGTATCCGTGTAGTCACGCCGTTGCTGCTGCGTTAAGTGTTAGGCAGAGTGCGTTCACTTACGTTGACGACGTCTTCTTGATAACTAACTTGGTCGAGGCTTATTCTTTTCCGTGGGAGCAAATCGGAAACGAGGAAGCAATACCTGAAATTAGTGGTGCAAAGATTATTCCTGATTCTACTATGTTGCGTGCAAAAGGTCGTCCAAAGTCAACTCGCATCCGCAACGAGATGGATGAAGTTGAGACAAGCCAGAGCCGTATCAGGTGTGGACTTTGCAAGGAACGCGACCATAATCGTCGGCGATGTCCAAGTCGTGGGAGAAATGACTAATTTGCATATTATGTAATTATTTTGCTGTTGGTTATGTTATTGCATGAATTGTAATGTCCGTTATGTTGGACTTTTTACTTTCCGTTTATGTATGTTTTTAATCTTGTATTATTAATTAGCTGTTGCTGTTAGTTACCGTAATATAAATGTGCAAAGAACGATAACCAAAACATAAATAATAACGCATAGTGAATAGTCCAAATAATATAATAATGTAGCGTCCACAAAATAACAACATGCTACACTCATATGACATATACAAAAGAACAAAATAATAACAATATGAAACAGTCCACAACATAGTGAATACTCAAAATGTCAATGAAACTAGGACCACGGTGGCCATGGCCTATGTCGTGCATCCCTTTCTGGCAGTATACGTCTGTCCCAGACGGGGTCACCCTGATGCTCCTGTGGAGGTGGAGTGTGGAAGTCATCCATCGCTGCACGGATGAAATCATCTGATGGTCCTGCACTGCTGCCCGGCACATCAAAAGGGGTGTGTCCCTGACTGTGAGAATTCGTGGCTAGAGTCTCCCCATTGTCATGGCTCTCTACAACAAGGCCTACAGAGCGATACAACTCCATCGTGTCCTCTGCAGACCAAAAGGGGTAATCGGCATCAAGTCCCTGTGAATAGGGCTGGAAATCAGGCTGTGAGGATGCCGGATCCGCTCCTGCCATAGCCATCGGACTAGCTTGGAAAACTGGCTCCTGCCCGCTCATGTAAGGGTGCTCAGACGCCGCCTGACTAGGACCTGCCGCATACTGCGATCCGTGATGATAAATCGGCTGTGACCCGTAAGTAGGACCAAATGCTGGAGGTCTAAACCATCCCTGAGTCTCGACCACTGGTCTAGGTGCCATAATCGGGACAGGCTCAGCAGCAACTCTCTCACGTCTACGTCCTAATCCGCGTCCCTCCCGTCTATTACGAGGAACATCCACGATCAACTGAGGATCAGGCTGATGCACCGGGGGGGGGGGGGTGCCTCAGGTCCAGGCTCATCAACTCGTGA